AGCACATCGGATTTTGCCAGTGATCATCACCAGAAACACACTCCTTAAGTATATGCAGATGGGTGTAATTCTTGGAAGAAATAATTTTTTTTTCTTATGGAAGGTATAATTCTAGTGGAGGAAGAAGTGTTATTTTGCTTATAAAAGAAATTGTTGGGTAGACACAAAAAAAAGAGTAAGTGTCTAAGTGCCTGCTTCATAACCCCTGGTGGTTTGGACTTGCAGAGTTAAGCTGTTTGAAGATTATTTGAAATACAAAATCAGCAAGTTGAGGACAAAATAAAAAATAAAACTTCAAGACAAGGAAAACGTATTGTGTTTTAAACTTATTAGTGTATGGCCTACTCTATTCCCATCTGTAACGAACCATTGCTTTTCCAGTCCTTCAGTAGGAAATTAATTTTACCAGATTCTGTTTTCTTATTTCAGTGGCATCGGAAGTGCATCAGCACAATAAATATATATCCCCTTTCCAAAAGTGTACAACTACATGTAAAGGGGACCAAATAGTTGAGGGTAATCAAAATTTACAAATTACAAATTTTGTAATACAGATGTTCTAACCTGATTGCTGTAGAGCGGTTTTGAAGGGCAAAATAAAAGACCCAGAGAAAAGTGGAAGATGGGATGAAATGCAACATACTTTCAGCAAAACCAGACTCTGCGGGACTAACTTGTGCTAGGATTTTCTAGACAGAGGAAATACACTAAATCTATTATGTTTCATTGTCAAGATTAAGTATTTGATATTGTACCATGTGAGAAAATGAGGTAAAATGGAAAAAAAAAATTGGATTAATTGCATTGTAAGGTGACTTGGGAATTCTCTGACAGTTAACGGGTGGAAAGAGAATGTACTGATGGAAAGGAGGCTGCAAACTGGATTTTCCATAGACTGTATTGGAAATTATTTATTTTTATTCTTTAGTGACCCTAATGAAAATGTAGAACTGTGGGGATAAGATCTTATGACACAAAACTGGTCAACTGTATCGATAGAGAGGAGGATTGGAATATCCATATACCGACAAGATGAATCAAACCTGATATTAATAGAATTAAATGAGATTTATGATGCAAACAGAAGCTAATCACTATTTTAGAAGAGCTCATCACGTCAGTAGTGAGTTGGGAGTCAGCGTAATAGTCAGCAGCAGAATGATGGCATACTGCTATGGGATGTGGCTCAGAAAATAATAATAATAATAATAAAAAAAGAATGGCATATAGAAAATATTAATGTCAAAGTATGTGGCATTCCTGAGACCTTATCTGGAGCCCAACTATCACCCATATCCAGATAAATGGATTCAAATAGATGCAGAAAATGTTAAGAGGAATAGAGAGACTGTTAATGGAAAGACACAAAAGTGACAATTACACAATTTTTTTATAGGGGAGGAAAATAATTATGTAAGCTCAAGATTAGAGTAAATGAGCAAAATGCATGTAAAGGGGATAATAAGCACATTATGCTGAAAATTACAGGAAGAGTTCTAACTATCAGATCACTGATATTCTGGAGCAGTTTCCAACTAGAAAGAAGCTTAAATTTCTTTTAAAATTAGGTTTGATAAATCCAGAAAAGAACATAATTTGGTTCAGTGGAGTGGTGGGGAATTTGACTCGAGAATCATGGATATCCCCTCCCTTAATTCTGCATTCTTGTGTATCAGTAAAGTGGATTCTGAGATGGATATGTGTGTTTACATTGGGCCCATTTTGAAAGCACTGATTGGTTTTGTCATCTTAATTACCTCTTCCATTAATCAAGTTCTTCCATTAATCAAGTTATTTTCTTTGGGCCCTTTGCTAGAAGCAGAGTAGTTTGATTATATTTGCTATCAACTGCTTATCACGTGCACACTGCATTGTGCTGGCTTGAAGAGAAGCAGTGTTCTTTACCTCACTGACTTTAACATTGGGAGTAGGCAAACTATGGTTTGGACACCATGGTGGAAAGTTTACTCACACAGTACTGCCTGACTTCTTGTCCCTGGACGGGCTGTTTGTAGAGGTCTTCATGAAACAATTTTTAGGAAAGTATTTCAAGGAAAAACTTGATCATCTACAGCAAGACAACACTGCATTCTGAAATGTATGTATAATCAGCTCCCGTGGGATGTTACCTGAGAGCTTGTATCTCTTTTCCTTCCTTTTAGACTGTATAGTTTTTACGTACAGCACCTAGTGAAGCACTGAAGAATTAACAGAAGAACCTTAAAATTGGAAGAACATTGCTTTTCAGTGAGGCTACCATATTCTTAGGCAGACATTCTAGGCTTTTACTTGGCATTTTTGTGATTTGGAAAATCTCCACAGAGCAGGAAGTTAAGCAATCATTGCTCAGCCATCCATTTTTATTTTATTTTTCAGTCCAGGGCTGTCACAGGTTATCCAAAGAGAAAGAATTTGTTTTAAAGAGGTAACTTCCCATTCAGTGGTCAGTAGAAAATGACGTGATGGAATCAGTCTAATCATCAATGTATGTGTTAAGTGCTATGAGTGGCACCTTCACTAGTTGCTGAAGCAGAGGAGTGAATAGATTATAAGGATTAAATTTCTTTCATCCCCCTGGAGGTGAACAAGCCATGTGAAAATGGAAGGCTTATTTGGTAGGAGACAGTATGAAAGACAAAAAAAAGAAATATATTATCTCTAAATGGTTTCTTGCACATTTTTTCTATAATAGATGGTGGGATGTGAGCTACAGACAGAATCTCAAAGCTTACGGGGCAGAAATGTGATTCTCTGAGTATGGAATGAAACATGCTTGGTTGTTATTTAACCTGGATTCCCGAGAAGTATTTTTCTCTTCCATCATATGTCTGATTCTTCAAAGAAAATTATTCCAGTTCACAGCAGATGCTTTCTCTTGTTCGTTTCTTGACCTTTTTGAATTGGAGGGAAGCTATGGACTTTCCCACTGAAACGGTGGGAACACAGCGTTAGGTCTGCAGCAAAGGAAAATGTTCTGACCTGATTTGCCCATGTCATCCTGCAAGGCTTTCTGCCGCAAAAAGAGGCACTTCCACTAGTGTCACTGGTTTTTCCTTCTCTTGCCCTGTATTATGCCCCTTGAAATACTGCTGTTTGGAGGAGCAGATTTATGGAAGTGAGGAGCATTCATGTGATAAGATTGATAATTACATTTGCATGAGTCAATAACAAAAGCAAACCAGAGAATACTTTAATATTAAACAAAAACAAGGTGTTAGTGTCATTACTAAGAGTAGGACAAACGCATTCATTTGGTGGTTTTATGTAAACAAGCCTGGGAGGAATGTGTACATGTGTATACTCACACACACACGTATGTATATATACACATACACCTGCTTTGCTGCATATGCTGGCTGATGAGTAAAAATAGCAGAGGATCAATATATAAAAGTACTGGGAAGTTACACACTGAACAATATCAAAGTATGCCAGAAATTGGCTTGATAGCAGTAGACTAGGAAAGGGTTGGTTCACTGCAGCCTGCAGCAGCATTTTTTATGCTGTTTTTTTGTTGTTGTTTGGGGTTTTGGGGTTTTTTGTTGTTGTTTTGTCTGTTTTAATTATTATTTGTAGGAATGCTTTGGAGCCAGGTCATCACTGCTGTAAATCTTCAGATTTTCACTGATGTTTGCAGAGGGATAGTGATTTACAACCCCTAAACAATTGGCCTTCTGGGTGGGGACATTGTTTTGGTGTCTTTGGTCATACATCAAATACTTCTTATTTCGAGGAAGAAAAAAAAGTCAAAGGAGAGGTAACGATAAGTTCCTCAATAAGCTTCTCCCATTGGAGAAAAACAAAAGCTCAGTACCTCTAAAATTATCGTACAGTTGGTACAAAAGCTGTTGGATGATGTTGTTACAGTAGCATCTATATAAATAGAAATAGCAAGAGGGGAAATGGGAATTTAGGCATTCCCCTGGTGTCTCTCCAATGTGTGAAAATTCTGGGATGGAAGGAAGTGCCATCTTTTGGAGCTACTTACTTTGTTTTCTGCAGTGCCTTCATAGACAGAAACTCCTCTCAAAATTTAATCATAGCAGAATAACTAATGAGTAGGTGGGATAAAACTGTTTCAGTTTGTAATCATGTGAGATGTTCTCAAGTATTGCTGTGGAAAGGGAGTCCAAATGATTGCTGCAATTCTGATTGCAGCATTCAGGTAGATAACACCTTGGTTTAAATTCCTAAGGCAAAATGAGTTTTGCTGTCCCACCATCAAGCACAAAGAAGTATGGAGTCAGAGAAGCCAGACTTCACCTGCTTGCGCAAGGCAGTATTCTACTGCCATAAATTTCCCCACATAATATCTCACTGTAATACTTATTTTCGTGTTACCATCCAGAATGTCTAGTTACCCTCTCGGCATGTAAAGATAAAGCTTAGGCACCCCGCAATCACCTGCACTGGTGCTGTGTAACTGTGAGAAGACCTGAGCTCCTGCCCTGAGATTTCTCTGCAGGTTAGAGGTCTGCCACTTCAAGTGTGGAATCCTGAAGTTCAAATCCCGTGCCTCCCTCTGCAGATATACCCCCAAGGAGCTCGTGCTTTGTTCCCCCTGGGGCCGCTGAGGTATGTAGTGAAGGCAGATGAGGAGTGAGTGTGCGTGTTGGGAGAGCTGTTACTGCTTGGGCAGGAGAGACTGCTGTGCCACGTCGCTGGAGCTGCTGGTTAGGGCAAGTGTCTGCAGCGGTGGGTACTTGGGATCCAAGTCCTTCTTGCTATGGGAGCAGTATACAATCCTGAGAATGACTGAGTCTCCCAGGGTGTTTTTAAAATGCCAGCTTTAATGGTTAAAACTTTAATAGTAGAACTCTTTGGGAAGTCTGGAAGCTGGGCATTTAAAAGAGTTAAGGAGAATTTGAAGGAAAAAATACAGACGTGTAATTGGATGTTAAAAGATGGGAAACAGATTTATTTATTTATTTATTTCCCCCCTCTTCCATCCCTGGTAGGGTCCTAGCTGAGCTCTCTGCCCTCACATTTCCTCATGCCTAGGAAGTCTTCCAAGCATAATTCACGTTTGTGAAATACTGGGAGTGGCCAAGACAAAGTCTGCAAGAAGTACTAGGTTTTGGCAGGGGCAGCAAAACTGTTCGTCAAGTGGATCTTTAAGGGGACACTTGAAGAAGATGGATTTTTTTTAAATGACATGGTAGCAAAGCTAGTCCATTGGGACATGGAAGAGGTGAAGTAGTTCTGTGGAAGAGAGGAAATGTCGCACGATTCCTGTCCTGTGGACACGAACCAGCTTGTGCTGGGTGGGCTCTCTCAGGGACAATAGATGCATTGGAAGGGGGTGGAGGGAGGGCTATCGACACAATCTCACATTCAATATACTTCACAAAAGGATGCAGTGAAAGAGGGTTGAGTGTATATAATACAGTGCAGCAGATGAACAATAGGTTATAGATGAGAAGACAAAGGTTTATTATCAAAAGTAGTCCATCATCTGCGTCTGAGAGTGAATGCATCATGCAAGGTGACACCGAGTGTTGGCAGTGGCATGAGGGACATGCATTCCTGAACTTTGTTCATTTTATGTGGACAAGTATCTGTATTGCTTATCTACAGTTACAAAACTGGGTAGCAGAGACATCAGGGATTAAACAATGAGAACACAGTATTTCGTTTCTACAGATGATATTTTCAGCTCAAAATCAATACATTTCAGTGGGCTGTAGGATTGAAGAAGGTTAATCTTCTGTTGCCACAGCCCATGTTATGTCTCTCCACTAAACACATGCTGCACTTGAGTTTGCAGCATGCACAAATATTAGAATTTTATTGGAGAAGTACTTGATTTCCAGTGCTGATTAAAAAAAACCCAACTTTATGTGCATGTTTTACTTGGGCCTATCCTTGGTTTGCACCATGAGAGGAACTGAAGCTCCCCACTGTAACCACTTAGAACTCTAAACAGGGAATGGCAACAAAAAGGAATTTTGAGGTTTTATAAGAGACTCACCTGTTAATCCATAGTAGGTAAAAGTGAGAAATCCCTGTATAAAGTCCTAGAAGTCTGTAGTGCTGTTTGCATTTTTTCCCATTCTTAAGGGGAATTGAATGGACCTTCTCATAAAGAGCAGTGTACACCTGCATGATGTGTTAAATTTACAATCTATAGACCTAGCCTACTACTGTCTTGTTCTTGATCCTGTCTAGCTTCTATTGCTACATTTGCCTGGAGTGATTTGTTGTTGAGAAATTTGTGACTTTAACCCCTGAAGCAGAAGGACAGGTTGCTGACACCCGAGGTTTATTTAAGAAGGAGGGAGGAGTGTATCTCTGTTACACAGTGTGGCAACCTCAAATGCCTGGATGACTCAGTTGCAGAGCTAAAGCTTCAGTTTCAGAACTGAGTCGTGTTTGCAGGTTCCTGTTGTCCTCATAGAAACTGTAGTGGAAAGTGCAGTTGAAGGATGACAGACACACAAATCAAAATTTGTGCTTGCTAGTTTATTCATTATGGCACTTAAGGGTACCAATTCCATCCCTTTCTCTCAGCCTGCTGCTTTCTGGCTCACTGTCATGGTTTAACCCCAGCCAGCAACTGCTTGCTCACTTCTGGGATGAGAATTGGAAAAAAGAAAAACCAAAAACTCATGGATTGAGATAAGAACAGTTTAATAAAATATAATAACAGTAACTGTAATGAAAACAAATACAACAAAAAGAGAGAGAGGAATATAACGCAAGAAAAGACAAGTGATGCACAGTACAGTTGCTCACCACCCACTGACCAGTGTCTCTGCAGTGATCGGCTCCTCCCAGCCAACACCCTTCCCAGTTTCTGTACTGGGTGTGACATCCTATGGTATGGAATAGCCCTCTGGCTAGTTGGGGCCAGCTGTCCTGGCCATGCTCCCTCCCAGCTTCTTGTGCACCCCCTCGCTGGCAGAGCATGGGAAACAAAAATCCTTGACTTGGGATCAGCACTGCTCGGCAACAACTAAAACATCGCTGTTATCAGCATTATCTCACACTAAATCCAAAACAAGGCACTGTACCAGCTAGTAGGAAGAAAATTAGCTGCACCAGGCACTCATTTGCACCTGTAAGCTTGGCAGAGCAGGGGCGGTTGGCTCTGCTGTGGTGGTTGTTCCATGCCTGGGTGAGCTGGGTGCTCCGTCATGAGTGCCGAGGCACTTTGTGTAGGAGTACTGAGGGGCCTGAGAGCGAGAGCCAGCTAGCTGCTGCTGTCAAGGTCTGAGTCTAAAATATAGATCCTAGATCCCCAAGCTCCTGCTTACTGGGAACCCCACCAGGAGTGAGGAGGGTGACAGAAATACCTGCTTCCAGAGTTGCCCAAATACACTGCTTTAGCACATGCTTAAGGTTTATGTGTGGGATAGGGCTGAGAGTGTCTGCTCCAGCAACCCAGCCCCTCCAGTCCTGCTGGTTTTCCCTCCCATTGCTGTAGTGGATGGAAACCAGTTACTCCATGAGGTGTGCAACAGCTTCAGGCGAGAACTCCTCACCTGACACATGTCTGTGCCACGCTGTTGAGACACTTAGCTGGTGCAAGCCCTTTCAGGCAGAGGAAAGAAAACCGAGTTCCTGGGTGAATGTTGAGTTTTGTGTGGGCTTGGAGGGGTACCCTGACCCCTGCAAAGGGATGGAGAAGGTGCTTTCAGAAAGGGTCAGGATTGGATATTCCACACAAGGTCTCTTGCCTCACCCCAGCATTAGGATCCACTGCTGTTTGAGGTGTTTTGAGAGATTTCAAGCTGTGCCAGGGAAGGTTTAGACTAGATATTAGGAAGGATTTCTTTGCAGAAGGGGTTGTTGGGCGCTGGAATGGGCTGCCCAGGGCAGGGGGGGAGTCCCCATCCCTGGAGGGGTTGAAGGGTCGGGTTGACCCAGCGCTGAGGGATCTGGTGGAGTTGGGAACGGTCAGTGTGGGGTTCATGGTTGGACTGGAGGAGCTTTAAGGGCTTTTCCAACCAAGATGATTCTGTTTTCTTATGATTTATTGGCACGCCGAACTGGTTCCTGTAGAGTTCTTCACTTGACAGGATGGGCAGTGTAGATCCCATTCTCTGGTATCGTACTTTCTGCCTTTGGTGTGCCCTGACGCAGGGTGCCTTAAGTTGGGGCTGTGGATTTAGGCAAAGACACACTGCAGTGCTCAGCACTGCAACCTTTTATTGAATCGGGCTTCCCCGCAATAAGTGTGAGTAATGGTAAGAGAGGCATGAGAGCAGAGTGACTGTACAGGAGGGAGAGCTGCACTTGACTTGCTAGAATGAAAAACATATTTGTAAAGGGATAAAATTAGCACTGGGTACAAGAATGCCATTTAATGAAACAAATGACTACACCTCTTCTCAGTGGCAGGAACGAAGTGATACATCACAGTGTCCCATCCTCCTCTCGGTGCTGCTGCAGGAGACGGTGGCTGGGCTAGCCAGGCTGGGGGAAGGTGGGGAGCCCAGCACCGCGACCCCCCCGAGCACCCCGTCCTCACGCTGTGCGTGGGGGTGACTGACTGACTGTGGCTCCCGTCTGTGGGCCTGCAGTGAGAGGCGCCTTCCTCGGGTGCTGGGGGAGCAGGGCAGGAGGGAGGGTCTCCAGGCGGGATGGGGGCGTGTGGTCTCACTGAGATGCGAGATCGCTTGTGAGATACTTGCGGCAGCAAAGTCACAGAAAATAATAAAAATTGAATGTTTCTTCTCATTGGGTGCTCTTTTATCCCCTATTTGTTGAATTTTATTTCTCTGTTTGTTGTATTTTATTTCTTTGCGTTATTTTTGCCTTCTTTATGTCTCCTTTTGATGTCTTCCCCTTTGTGTTTCCACATCCTTATTTTTTGTTCATTTTAATTTACTGTTGCTTTTTTTACTCATACACGTATTTACTCCTTTAGCTTTCCTAAGTACTTTCTCTTTTGTCTCTCCTGTGATCTGCCATACAGTTTGGCCACCTTCCATGCGATGGAGCAATGTAGCTGAGTTGTGGGTTGACGTAGGCTTGCATCACCACCCCGAACCAGATTGCATCTGCAGTCCTCTGGAACTGACTGCATGCCTGAGCTGATAAAAGATGCCGTGGAACCGTGGATCTCTGGGGCCTTGGCAAGGTATCCTGCTATACATGTGTGTGCGTGCTGATGTGCGAGTGCGTTAGAAATGCCTGTCTTTTCCTTCAGCTCAGCTGAGTGGGTGCTCCTCTGGGCTTTGAAGCAGCTGATGGGAAATGGGAACAGACCCGAAAAGCTTGTGGGAAGACCAGGATTAACCCCGAAAAGGGGGATATGCCTGTTCCCCGGGAATGTGTGATGGCTGCAAGCAAGAGATCCAAAACCCCTCACTTGACCTTTCTATAATTCTTTCCCTTCCAGTGAGTCCCTTTCCCTGCCTGTGACTCATCTTCTGCTAAATGTAGACTGCAAGCCTCTCAGAGGACTGCCTTTCTCTCTGAACAGAGTAGCATAAAAAATAGCAATGCTGTTGAATAACCAGTATTATTTTTTAACACAAAAAACTTGAGGGCTGCCTTGCTGTATCTGTGCTTCTCTGTCAAGGGATTTATCAGTTCCCCGAGAGAAGAGCTGAGCAGGTTCTGTCCTGGCCCGCAACAAGAAGGTTGTTCAGACAAAGCAGTCTTGGGAGTGGCACCACTGCAGTGCTGTGGGCAGTGGATGTTACAATAAAAGATGGGTGGGCTCTGACAAACGCCAACGAATTTTTCTCATCACCCATGTACTTCCTTCCCTGTTTCTGACCCATGTGTAACTGGCAGTGTCCCCTTGATAACTGCAGTGTGGCTTACACGGCCATCCAGTCAGAAGTTGCCAGCTCCCTTCAGCAGGTTGCCCAACATCCGTCTCCTTTCCCCCAGCCTCTGCACATGCTGCGCAGCCACCTGTTCTCGACCCTGGTGATCACCTTCCATCCCGCATTTCAGCTCGTGTTTTGTCTTTGACTTGTAGCAGATCTCTCACTAGAGCCAAAATGGTTCCTCTTCTCTTTTCAGATGCTTTCGCCATATCCTGTCTCTCGATTGCCTCGTCCTCTGCAAGACAAAAGAGTGAGAATCAGCGTTGTGTGTTGTTACTCAGAGAACAGTTTGGTAACTGCTTTGACAGGCGATAGAAGAAAACAGTGTGGTGTGGCCACAGCAAGCACAGGCTTTTCCTAACAATTTATAATTGCACTATGATCCCAACGAGGAGTGGTGCTCGAACCTCCTTTTGATTACCTGTGTTCTCTTCTCTCACTGTAACAACGTCGTTTCTTTCCAACTTGCACACATTCATGCAATAATGCCAAGATTCACCATGCAGATTAAAGTAGGTTTACAAATTAAGGAAAGGCTGGTGCAGAACAAAAGGAAAATTAAGTTTTCCCAGCAATTTTGCACTTACTTTTAATCAAGTCCTGTCAGTGTCAGGTGTTGTGTTAGATACACACTCAGTGAGGCCTGTGAGAATTTTCTATGTGTAAAGGCTGCAGGACTGAGCCCTAGCAAATCACACTATTCTAAAACTGGTGGCCAGTAAGCAATAGGTGGGCTCTTCTGGGAAAAAAAATGGGAAGAAAACTTGGTGGGATCTTGATCCTTTGCAGTGTCACCTTTCACAGTTGAGTGACTAGCAAAAGAAAGAAAAAAGATGAGCTAAATCACCTTGAAGATGGATGCCTCCTGCTGCAGAATAGAACGAAACCCAGTGACGTGCTGCCTCCCATTAGATCTGATACAACTGCTGTATGATAAAGGTTAATTTCTGAAAATCAACCGTAAACCTATAGGTCAGCCACTAAGACAGTGACTTGGCAAATTTTTCATTGCAAAGTGTATGAGAGTTTCCTGCCTTCAGTCTGTGACACTGCAGACAGTGGATTATTGAATGAATCCAGTGAAGTTTTAATCCCACTATGAATTTATTTTCCATGAGTAGATTATGAACAGAAACCTTTGATTTCTATTAATTATGTATCTTTGAGTGAAAAGCTCTTGTGTGTGTATATATACATTTAATAACAGGAAATGTAACGAACACATATTTTCATTAAATAAAACAGATAAACCTATCAAAGCATGTTTTCATTTAATTTCTTTGCTCTTGTTTCTCTTAGTATATATGAAAGATCATCAAATTCGATCTCATGTGTCTCAGGACACTCTTCATTGTATCAGGTTGTTGACGTCATGCAAAAGTGTCTTATTTCTAAATAAGAGCTTCAAGTTTGTGATAGTCTTTGCAACTCTGTGTCTGCATGGAACCATAATCAGACTGAGGCCTCAAGGCGCAACACACAGGGTTCTGCTTACTGTTGCCTGTAAGGTGGCACCTAACACAAGATCTTCCCAGACTGAGAATTGTAATCCCTGTCTTGAGGAGCTTGTGCCTTAGGAGCAACAAACAGGAAAAGGTTTGGGAACATGGAATGGGACAGGGAAAGAGGAATTGTAGGGAGCTTATAAATCTTTTCAATAAGCAGTCTGCAGGAGTGGGATCTGTGAAGGGAAACTGGGTCTGAAGCGTGCAGGGGCTTTTTGCAAATGACCTCCCAGAGGCTGCATCCCGCATCAACATGGCATGTGGAAAGCAGCACAAAGGAGTTGGATGAGGGGAACTGTCCTGCTTCGGCTGGGATGGAGTTAAATCTTCTTCACAGCAGCTAGAACAGCACTGTGGTTTGGATTCAGTATGGGATTTGGTATAAGAATGTCAATAATGCACTGATGTTTTCAGGTGTTGCTAAGAAATGAAGGACTTTCCAACTCCCCATGTCACAGAATCACAATCATTCAGGTTGGAAAAGACCTTGGGATCATCGAGTCCAACCATCAGCCCAACTCTACAAAGTTCTCCCCTACACCACATCCCCCAGCATCTCATCCAAACGACCCTTAACCACACCCAAGGATGGTGACTCCCCCCCTCCCTGGGCAGCCTATTCCACTCTCTGACCACTCTTAATGGGAAACATTTTTTCCTCATGTCCAGTCTGAACCTCCCCTGTTGCAGTTTAAAGCCGTTCCCCCTTGTTCTGTCACTAATTCCCTGTGAGAAGAGACCAGCACAACCTCTCCCTACAATGTCCTTTCAGGGAGCTGTAGAGAGTGATGAGGTCTCCCCTCAGCCTTCTTCTCAGACTAAACAGTCCCAGTTCCTTCAATCACTCCTCACAGGATTGATTCTCCAGACCCTTCCCCAGCCTCGTTGCCCCCCTCTGCACTCGTTCCAGCACCTCGAGATCTCTCTCGTATTGAGGTGCCCAATGTCCTGCCTGTGTGCAGGTGCACAAGAAGCTGGGAGAGAGAAGAGCCAGAGCACCAGACCCAAATTAACCAGTGAAATAATCTGTATCATGTAACTAACACCACAGTATATAAAGGAGGGTTGGCTGGGGAGGAGGGGGTTCTCACTTGCTTCTGGGATTGCGGTTTAGGGATCGCATTTTTTTTCAAAATCACTGGTCAGGAATGGGCTGGGTATTGGTTGGTGGGTGGTGAGCAATCGCATTGTACATTACCCATTTGAACTTTCTATTACCATTTTATTTTATTTCAATTATTAAACTGTTTTTATCTCAATCGACAAGTCTCCCTTTACCTACCAATCCTTCCACCTCCCCAGGCCTGGGAGTGTGACTGAGCAGCCACGTGGTGTTTGGCTGCCAGCCGGGTTCAAACCATGACAAGGACTGGCAAATGGCTGCAGGCCGGCAGCAGCGCTTCAGCAGAGGCACAGAGGGCACAGGAAGCTGGGGAGGACCAAAACTGTCTGGTGGCAAAGCTACGTGTCAAGACCTGTAAGCGTGCCTTCAGCCTGCGTGGCTGTGTCAGCAGCTCAGAGCCAGAGAGTGAGCGAGGGTAGGAGCGACGTAACAATCCGGTGGAGGAGGACAATCAATGCTGTGACGGTTTTAGGGTCAGCTGGGATTGGTGGTGGGTACCTGGGAAGGCCCAGGTGGGATGTCTGGGGCATCAGAGCAGCACGGAGAGGGGATGAATTGTGAAGCAAGAGTGGTGCTTTGGTAGAGCTTGAAGATACTCAGTAGCAGCAGCTGGATTTGGGTATGACCAGTTTCCCAAGGCAAGGGAGAAAAGGAAGGCAGCATATAAAGCTACCCTCCACACTACCCGTCATTAACAACTCGGATGGATGTGGATCTCCAAAAAAACCTCATCTAGAGGAAGTTTCTTACTGCTCGTAAAGAGGTCATTATCAAATAAATCGTATAAAAGCTGTGCTTTCTAGAAAAATATTTTGAGACTTGCAAATGTCCACCTTTAAAACCAGCTGTCCCCTTCACCTTCACCACTGCCAGACTTCCCTGGTGTTTTGGTTGCCCCACTCATTCCCTGCCAGGGACAGGGAAGGGATCTTACCCCTGTTCTCAGCACCTTGACGACCGAGTTCAGTTTTGAGCCCCTCACCACAAAAAGGCCATTGAATGACTCGAGCGTGGCCAGAGAAGGGCAACGAAGCTGGTGCAGGGTCTGGAGCACAGGTCTGCTGGGGAGCGGCTGAGGGAACTGGGGGGGTTTAGTCTGGAGAAGAGGAGGCTGAGGGGAGACCTCATCGCCCTCTACAGCTCCCTGACAGGAGGATGCTGAGAGGGGGGATGAGTCTCTGGAGCCAAGGCCCCAGCGCCAGGCCCCGAGGGAATGGCCTCAAGCTGCCCAGGGCAGGGTCAGGCTGGCTCTGAGGAAGGATTTCTGTGCAGAAGGGGCTGTTGGGCGCTGGAATGGGCTGCCCAGGGCAGGGGGGGAGTCCCCATCCCTGGAGCTGTCTCTTATACACAT